TATATATATAAGGTAGTGATGGTGATGAGAGATAGGAGATGAGAGATGGAAAATGATTAAGAGATGCCCTTACCCTTGTTTGCGATGATTGCGATGTAGTCATCTACCAGAGTATAGATGAAGATCACAGACTAATCTAAAAAGTCCAGTGGAAACACCGATAGGTTTACAATATGTAGGTGATGAATTACGAGTTCAGATAATGTATGAACTGTGTATTTATGCGATGTACTCTATTGACGAATTACGAGTTCAGGTAATGTACGAACCGTTTATTCTTGTGAAATTGGCCCTCCTCTTAGTTAGTTTTATTATGCTCTTTGGAGTTCATTGGGTGTGAACCAAGAGATGGATTTTGGTTTGGATCCTTACCTCTAAATAAGGTGGCACGCACAAGGTCTCAAACAAGGAGCTCGTTAGCATTGAAAAGAGGTATGTAATTATTCCTTCTTTATGTTTTAATAGTGTAACGATAATAGCATGAAACTTAGATCCTAAGGACATATGAACACATATGATTATTGTTTTCCGTTGCGTTATGATCATGTGTGTAGATAGATAGAAATCTTAACAGTTGTATCAAATTCTTTTGTTTCCGAAGACGGAATCATCCTAAGGGGGAGAGAATTGTAACACCCGAATTTTCTCACTAGGCATGAATAATATGATATACTTGTAATGGTCGATAGTTGTAACCTTTATATGAAGTAAATAAAGAGAATTATTGAGTATTATGTGTTCTAAATGTAGTATACGCGCTTAACGCAATAAAAAAAGAAATAAAATATGCATCTTAAATAGAATAATAATTAGGCCAAATAAATCTGATGAATGTTGAAATAGTCGTGATGAGGATTTCAGAGATATATGGAATGCTCAAATCAAGCTTTGAACGAAGAAGTTGTGACCCATTGAAGTTTCGCATTCGACTCAATACGGCAAGGAGTGTTGTAAAAAGTAAATTTTTGATAGGTTGTTTATTAGTCTAAGAAATCTAAACGAAAGTCATAGTAATCATAAAACCGAGAGCGTTCATATAGAGAATGCCTAAATTTGACTTTGTATGAGGAGGTTATGATTTTTCGAAGTTTCAGCGCCACAGTGCGGACATAGAATCCGAATTTTAGATCGTTTGATTTTTAGCCAAAAAAATCTAAACGAGAATCGAAGATCTCGTTAATAGGAGTCCGTCTATATAAAGACAGTCGAGAACGGACATCGGACGAGAGAGTTATGAATTTTTAACGGACTTTAGCAGTTTAAGTCTGTTAAAAATATAACTTTAAAAATAAATCAAAATTAGCTGATGGAGTCTAAATGAAAGTTGTAGATCTCGTTCATAGCTATGTGTGGATATAAAACGCATCAAAAACGGAGGTCATATGAAAAAGATATGAATTTTTAAAGAAAATAAAATTTTCTCGTGCAGCCGCGCACACAAACGGAAGGCGCGGTGCACCTCTGACATGCCACGAGATTGCGACACGTGTCACTATGAGATTTCGACACGTCATCTACCAAAATTTTACACGACACGCCGACAGTTTGCGCGACACGCTTTACCTTTTCTCGCATATAATTAGATAAGCTTGCTCCATTCGATTTCCACACAACTTCCATTCATTCTTTCAAGT